GGCAATGTTGCTCCTCTAAAGGCAGTCCAAGCTCCTCCCTCCCCTTCTCCTCCGCCGACGACAACCACGCTCCATCGTCTAGTGGAAGAGAAGGCGGATCCGGAGAAATTTGTGATCATCTACGAATCTGACGTTTCGCGCCCGGATTTGAATCCTCTTGTCCAGGGGCATAAGGTCGAAGGCTTAGGATTGTGTACACCGGTAGGTCTGCTCTTTCGACCGTCTGACCCCAAGCTAATAATTGATGATTCAATAGTCAGTCTACGCGGACATTGGGTTCACACTGGGCAATTATTTCCTTGATCGATTTTCCCAGCAGCTTAAAGGAGGGGATGGCGACAAAGTGGTCGATGTCACTGACATGGTGATTGAAAAGGCCTTGATCGCAGAGAATGCTGGTCCCCAGTTGCTGCGAGTTGCGGCCGACTTAAATTGGTCGTCCAAAGAGGCTGCTGTCAGATACTACAGTGTTGATGTAAGACTATGCCTCGACTCATGCGTACATTCACGGCTAACATTTGTCAGCTGAATCACGTCGAGACCGTACAACATGCCCACTGTTGCGTCCGCTTCAGTGACAAGTCCACCTTTAACTCTCTCGCCAAGGGCGTGTCCACCCTCCGAACACACATTGGAACCATGCGCGAAAACTCCTGCAAAGGGGCAATCTTCCGTTTCAATGGACCAATGGCGTACAACATGGTCCAGGCGTTGGCGGAATTCCACCCCGATTATCGGTGTATCGATGAAACGATCCTTGACAACGAGACTTTAGAAGCTGCAAGTATGGTCAGCTTTGGGGATGTCAAGAAGGGCGGCACTTTCCACACGCATCCTGGATTCATTGATGGGTTGACACAGTCTGGTGGCTTTGTCATGAACGCCAACACCAAAACGAATTTGGGGGTGGAGGTTTTCGTGAACCATGGCTGGGATTCGTTCCAGCTATATGAGAGTGTCACGGATGATCGGCAGTACCAGACATATGTGCAGATGAAACCTGCTGAATCAAGCCAGTGGAAGGGCGACGTCGTCATCCTCAGCGGTGATCGGCTCATTGGGAGCGTCAGAGGGTTGACGGTAAGTGGCTGTCCGGGGAAACATGTGCAATGCTGACCAAAACAACAGTTGCAAGGTGTCCCGCGAAGAATCTTACGATACATCCTCAAGGGCAGCGCAAAACCTAGCAAAGCCAGCCGGACACATTCTGTTCCAATCAAAGCTCCTCCTCAGCCCGTGGACAAGAGCTCCGAAAGGAAAAATGAGCCTCCTGATCGTGAAAAGGTCTCCTCTGCAGCATCAGTAGCAGGACCTGTTGCTGCTATCAAGCCTCAAACCCATAATTCAGCACTGGCTCAGGCTCTTCGCATCATTTCTGAGCAGAGCAATGTTCCGATTTCCGAATTGACAGACGATGCGGCATTTGCAGACATTGGCATTGACTCTCTCCTGGCGCTGACCATCACCTCTGCTTTCAGCGAAGACCTTGATCTGGATTTGGATTCCTCATTCTTCATCGAGCATCCCACGGCGGCCGACCTCAAGAAATTTTTTGGCAGCTGCTCTTCCAGCTCGCCGGACCCTGAAGTGGTTGTCCCCGCTGTTATTCCTCAAGTCGAGTCTCGAAGCATGGTGCAACAGCCGGTGGCAGTTCCATCGACAGACCATGGTGTTGTCACTGATATGGTGAGGCAAGGACTACAAACCAACCCAGACACCAGTAGCATTTTCCAGTCGGCTGTTCGCATTATTGCAGACGAAAGCGGCGTCAGCCCTGCCGATCTCACTGGGGAGACCGTATTCGCGGACATTGGTATTGACTCTTTGCTGGCACTGGTCATTGGCAGTCGACTTAGCGAAGAGCTCGGGCTGGACACTGACGCAGAGTCCTTCTTCCAGAACTGTGTGACCTTGCAAGATCTGCAGAACTTTCTTCAAGATTCCAGCGGATCGCCTTCTTTGCAAGTAAATTCCCAACCTAGCGCTATACAGACCACGATTGTCTCTCCACCTGTAAAGCAAGCTGCTTTTCCTCAGGTCTCGCAGATTTCACCTGATATGACGGCGCTCCAGACTCCAGCCGAGTCGGAACCATCACCGCCGATGGTAGCTCAATCTACCCCGTCAAGTGAGCCAGGTCCCTCATTCCTAGAGGTCCTGCAGATAATCAGCGAGGAGAGCGGCGTGAACGTCACCGATCTTTCCGACGAGACGGTGTTTGCGGATATCGGCGTGGATTCGCTGCTCGCTTTGGTGATTGGGAGCCGAATCCGAGAGGAACTTCTATGGGACCTGGATGTCGAGTCGATGCTGATTAATTATCCCACGGTCGGAGATCTGAAATCGCATATGCTAGGAGGAAGGTCTGTGTATCAAGCGGACCAGAATCTGTCCACTTCCTCTATTTCCACTCTCTCGTCTTCATTTCCTTCTAGTGACAGCGTCAGCTCGGCCGCTGAGACGCCCCTGTCCGAGTTGTCCGCTTCTGAGCTGGAACCCGGCATTCCAGACGCATCATCTGTCGTCCTGCAAGGCTCGTCCCGGAATGCGGAGAAGATCCTGTTCCTCTTTCCCGACGGCTCAGGATCAGCCACCTCCTACGCCTCTCTGCCACGTATCGCAGCTAATATTGCCGTCATTGGTCTCAACTCGCCCTTCCTTAAGAAAGATGTCGAAGTGCACTGCACCATAGACGAGCTTGTGGGAAGTTATCTGAAAGAGATCCGCACCCGCCAGCCCACCGGACCCTATCACTTCGCCGGCTGGTCCGCGGGTGGTATTCTGGCGTACCGGGCCGCTCAGATGCTCCTCGCTCGCGGGGAGCAAGTTCCCAGCTTAGTCCTGCTGGATGCTCCCCCGCCGATGGGACTGGGGAAGCTCCCGCAGCACTTTTTCGACCATTGTGACGCGATGGGCATCTTCGGCCAGGAGGGCAAAGCTCCGGAATGGCTTATTCCACATTTCAAGAAAACCAATGCCATTCTCAGTGGGTACTACGCGACGCCCTTTGCGGCAGGTCGGGGCCCCGGCAGGACAGGAATCATCTGGGCAAGTCAGAGCGTCTTTGATACCAAAGGATGCGCTCGACCGGCACCGCATCCTGAGGACACGGAGGATATGAAGTTCCTCACTGAGGCACGGACCGATTTCTCAGCGGGGATCTGGGGGTCATTGTTCCCTGGAGCTCAGGTGGTTGTGGATAAGGTAGATGGGGCGGATCATTTCTCCATGATGGTAAGCACATCCTGTACTTTGATCTGCTGTAGATTGTTCGATTGATTACATCTTTTACTGACACTGGCATAGCAAGAGGGGAAATATGCACGACAGGTAGCGGGGTTCCTAGTCCGGCTTCTGTCAGGATTTTGAAGCGATGGAGCAGCTGATGACATTATGATTGTTCTTTATATTGTTCTATACTCGTGCTTGTTGGCTTCTTGTCAAATATTTTGGCTTCGCATAATAGTGAATATTGAGTGAATATTTTCCAATTCAAGTAGACTGTCATGATAGACAGCCGGAAAAAGAGTCAGGAATATAGATATATAATCAAGGAAGCGAACATCGACTACTACTCTCAAAACTCTTATAAACAGTCTGCATAGACTTGCTGCACAATTTGTCTGATATCTGGAAGGCGCATTCAACCTGATTGGCAACATCAGGATATCCCCATAAGGGACTGTGATGATAACCGGGCCGGCACCGGGAAGAAGATGACAACCCCGCGTTTCCCGGTGGGGCTAGACCCCCTTCCGCCGACATCGGGCCGTCCTTGATCCGACGCCGTCTGCAAAGTCGCATCATAGCTTCATTTATTCTTGGTGTTCTCATCTCAGATCTGTTACATCACGCATCAAGTTTCATATCTTAACATGCCATCCTTACAGCAGAGCAAACTCGCCTTCATCGGCGGTGGCAACATGGCCTCGGCCATCATCGGAGGTCTTGTGAGCCAGGACATGAACCCCGCCAACATCACCGTCTCAGAGCCATGGGATGTCAACCGCGAAAAGATCGCCAAGTTGGGCGTGCAGACCACTACTTCCAATAGTGAAGCTGCGGGGGACGCAGATGTTGTGGTCATTGCCGTCAAACCTCAAACAACCAAGAATGTCTGTCAGGAGCTTGCCGCCGCCTGGTCACAGCGCACATCACTGCCTGTGGTCGTCAGCATTGCGGCGGGTATTACTCTCAATAGCTTGAAGGAGTGGCTCAAGACGAGTGATGGCCGGACTGCGCATATCGTCCGCGTCATGCCCAACACTCCGGCCTTGGTCAAGGAAGGCGCTTCGGGTCTTTTGGCTAGCGACGATGTGACGGCAGAGGAGAAGGAGCTCATCGGCGCTCTGCTCCAGACCGTGAGCAAGGCCACTGAGTGGGTTGACAGGGAGGAACTGCTAGATGTTGTGACCGGTCTGTCTGGTGAGTATCTTGGGGAGCGTCCATGCAGATGACACATAAATAACATTGACTAGGATCGGGCCCGGCATATTTCTTCGCTATGGTGGAGCACTTGGCTGCCAGTGCCACGGCTCTGGGTCTCTCCAAGGAGCAGGCCACACGGCTGGCGGCTCAGACCTGCCTGGGTGCGGGCAAGATGCTCGTCGAGTCATCGGACGAACCGGCCCAGCTGCGCAAGAACGTGACGAGTCCAAACGGGACAACGCACGCCGCGCTCCAGACATTTGAGTCGCTGAATTTTAAGGATATTGTTGACAAGGCGGTACAGTCCGCTACATCTCGTGCGGCGGAGCTCGGAGAGACACTTGGGAAGCTCTAGACAGGTTTGGCAAGGGAAAATTCATTCGCATCACTGGAGTAGAATTAAGACGTGGAATTTAAAAAAAATAGATCCTAACCCCTTTCGTGGAACGCCGATTCAAGAATGAGCAGTTGGCCCAGATGGTCCATCATTTCGGACTTAGCTTGGCATAAACCCGCCCCAACGCAGTTTATCTCTATGTTCAAGGACAAAGGCATTATTTGAGTAGGACATAATGGCAGTAAATCTAGCTGTCGCGTGCAGACTGCGCTCTTTCACCCGATGCGCCGGCGCTTTGAGAAATTCCGCTTGTTCCCCCACTGTCGCTGTATTATCTCAGGCCATCGATCCGCCTGTCATCAACGGCGTGTGCAACCCTCGCAAGCCTGGAGGTAAGTGACTCCTGTATTTGACTCGCATGGGACTTCAGTAGTCACATTACCCGGTTACCAGGACCCTGTAGCGGATATTGCCTACGCCCTGAGACACAAGAGCGTCCGGGTCCTCAATCCCAATTTGTCGCCATCGGATTCTTCTGACGAGGACTGGTCCTTCCCCGACGCAGAAGAGGGGATTATCATTTATAGCCAAAATCTTCCTCTCTGCCAGCCATACTCGAGATCCCGTCACAACTACATAATCTGACAGCGTGCTACGTTTAGATCCTTAAAACCAAGCTGACCGCGTCTCCAAAAGTAGATGAGATCTATTCCTTGACTAGCCCATGTGTAAGACCATCAATCGGCAAGAAATTCCACATATACTCGTCCTCGGGAGCCACTTCAAAGTCAAACCGGATGAGATCCTCCTTGTAGGGGAACATATATGTACTGGTTACCCTATCTCTTTGTCAGCGTCGCCTAATCGCTATCGACTGCCATTACTGCATATGCACATACCAATGATGCTCTTTGCTGGCCTGGTATGCTTCCAAAGCTTGCCGGTTCTCGTGGAAGCTTAACAATGCAATCTCAAATCCTTTGCTTCTCTCGATCGGATCAGTGATTGAGGGCCCGCCAACGACCAGCCGGTGACCCTTGACACAGTCGAGGTCCTTGAGTTTCTTGAGTTCGCGGACAAAGGTATCTTTATGCTCCTGCGTCACCTCTGGACGGAACTTGAACAGGACTGGATTATGTGAGTACAACGTGTTGATTGATCCATAGAAATTATACTAACCCATATGTACGATCGTCATTGTAGCGAGTATTTGTATGACCCTCGGTTGGGCCAATTCTCACGGAAATGTTGGTTGCGGGAGGAGACGAAGGAGAATGCCCGCGGTGACTCAACAGATCCACTGGTTTAACTATAGAATAGCACACTTCAAGGCCGTGATATCTCAACCATGTCCATATATGCTATAATGTAAGTAAGATATTTAGACTATATATAGATTAAAGTATATGAATACTCTTTTGCAAGGCCCCAAAATGCTATTTCTCTCTCTTAATGTCTAAAAATTTAATATCACTAAAAATACAGATGTAATTTATGTTACCTGAGTATTCATATAAACTAGGAGGCTATAGATTATAACTATAACTCTATATGACTATACTAATACCTCCTACCTAAACTTAGACCCTGTAGATGCTTGGTGGTTGAGATGTCAAAGCCTTGATGTGTGCCATTTTATATGGAATACAGAGGTGTCCAGCTCGCAAGGGTGTCCAACTTGGTTAGGAATTATGTTAAATGTCGCACTATGTGGGTTCAGAGACCAGAAAAATAAGAGAGGCAGATAGGCATGCTGTGTTAATATGCTCTATTCTTAAGGGTCAAGCTCCAGAATACTTGAATGGAGCTGGGGCTCTGACCTAGAAACTGGTCCAAAAATAACCTTATCACGTCTGACTAAGGTTGTTTCTCATCTCTTCTTAGCCTTGATAGAAGTTTCTTCTGTTTAGAGGGCCACGGCAGGCCTTTCTAAGAGGTTTCAGGAAGCATAGTAGAATTAGCTAGCTGAGATATATAATATATTAGTTATGCTATATGTAGAGTTGCATTTGGTGCGAGTTCGGGTGAGTTCAACCTTAGTTGGCACTGAACCGCTGTGATTTCGGGTCAAAATTTTAGAAATCACAACCAAATCGAACCCAGTGTGATTTGGTTGCAGATTCACCGCAAAAACCCGCTGCTAGGCCTAGCTATGCCTATCCTTACTAACCGTGGTTAGATTCAGGTTGGTTCGGGTTGGTTAAACCGCAAATTTTAACCATTTTGACCTTACTATTCCCCCTGAGGGGCCCCCGGGGCCCCTATCCATAGGGCCTATCACGCATGCTTATATAAAATTATTATTTTTATATGAAATATATGTAATTATCATCATATTAATCTAATTCTAAAATATTGATTCAATATCTATAGGGTTGAATGGGTGGTGGTTAAAAATCATCCTTAGATCATAGTGATTATTAAAGGGTGATGCACATATATATAAACTATCACCACTTTCATACCAACCTATAATAGAAATAATTATTCCCTTATATCTCACTAACCACTAGATATTTTGAATTGATATTTCATATTTAGATAGACTAGATACTAGGCTATCTAGTGATATTAATATTTCTATAGAAATCCTAGAAATTAGTGATTTCTATCTAAAACAGATTAGGCAGTTTCACCTAATCCGCAAAAACTATAAAAATTAAAACTAACGGTTTTCACCGAACCCGAATCAGGCCCGGGGTAGGGAACTCGAACCCAAAGTAATTCCCTAGGCTAGGCCCCGAGCCCGACCCACCGCGGGTTCGGTGAGGGTTGGATTCGATTTTTGCGGTTTGGTTATGCAACTCTAGACTATCTAGATCAGTCTGAGGAGGTTGAAACTGTCAATCTGAGGCATTTTCCATTAAATTAGGGATGATTGATATGAGGGATTTTATTAAAGTCAAATTATTAATAGCATTCCCAAGAGTCAGCAGACAATATCTTCTAAGCATGCCACAAATCCACAATCCAGATCAAATCCTTGATGAGGGGTTTCAAACCTTCCCAGGAATATAAGGTCTAACTAACTATAGTAGGGATTCGATCATTCAAATCGTCATATAGTAGGGCTATTGAATGATTCGAATCCCTACTATGATGATTTTTCTATATTACACCTAGGCTATAGATTGTAAGCGGGTGTTAAATACAAACCTAATAAAAGTTTAACAAGGTCTTAAATTCTATGTGATCCATATAGATGAACTTTCTCTTGGCGATAATTTAAGACCTTGTTGAACTTTCCAGAGACCTTGCTGAACTGCATGCCCCTAGCGAGATAAAGAAGAATGCAGTAATTTAATTTCTGAATTTTACCTTTAGACTGTGCCTTCCTTTTTGGGACTTTTCTGCTGTATGTTATTAATGCAGTGCAAAAATATAGTATGAAGTAATAAAGCTACTAGATTCTATAAAGGACCCCACATTCCCCCCATTAAAATAATATTCTACTGCTTCATCTGTATTAACTAACTGACAACAAGACTTTTTAGTTTCTTTCAACCCACACTATGCACTTCATCAATTTGCCCATCCTTGCTTTTTCAGCTTTGAGCTACTTTGCTCTTGACGTTGTTGCCTTTGGCTACTCTGGCTATGTCGGAAGTTGCGACAATATTAGGATTTTTAAGTCTGACATTCCTCCGCATTGGGCAATCTTTGGCGATTGCCCAAAGAGTCTTGGAGAGAGAGTATACAGCGTGATGAATATAGATTTGTGTTTTGCCAATGATGGTGGCAACCTTGTTGGCCATAAAAAGTAAGGTCTCTTCTTTACTATCTATAATTACATCTCTATAGTTACCTCTTTACTCCCTCTTCACCTAGTTACCTGCTTCTTCTTTTACTATATTTCTTAACTTAATCTCTCTTGCTAACATGTATCTACAGTGGTCTTGCTAGTGATAGCTGTTGGGACATATCTATGGACGGCACTATGCTCCATGCTACTTGTAATGTTGGTGATAATAAGATTACTTACGCTTCAATTGAGACAAGTAAGTCTCTATATCAATCACCAGTACTAGTATGGCTATTGACAATAGTGAACAGATGATTGGATCGGAAATAATGATGGGATAATGCAATGTTTTGGTCGGGGGGGCTATCCCTAATAAGTAGTCTTTGGTATGTACTAGCATCAGTGTACGTAGAGAGGTACATGGATCAAAATCTTTTGATATAGATTACCGCTTGCCTCATTAGGCATATCGCTTCCGCCTTCCCGATTCTGATTAGATAGATTACATTCTCTGCATGGCCGAAATCGGTCGTTTTAATTTATAGAGTTGCATAACCGAACCGCAAAAATCAAGATGCGGTTGGGCGGACGCCTCTCATGTCCGCGGCGGAGGGTGGGCATGAAGCAGTGGTGCGGACACTGCGGTAACACTTCCACATAGCCTCCCGAGCATTAATGACTGATATCAAAATATCACTTTGTCAAATGCTTCATGCAGTCCTCGCGCCTGTAGCCAAGTCTCTAATGCCTGCATGTCGCCCCGATTGGCTCTGTGGCCGCGTCGTTCCCCTAGGGAATCTGTGATCTCCTCCATCCCAGAGAACACTCTCTGAACGTCCTTTGTCTCTCGATATCTCTCACTGACCTTTTTCTGATGGCTGGGGATATCGCCCCACGAGTGTGTCTTGATGAAGCTCATATAAGCATCAATGTCCGTGGACACTCCCTCTAGACACAACACACCAGGCTTGCCCGCCAGCACGAAGCCTGTGAGGGAATAGTCAGGGGCGTGATTGACCAGATCGTTCCGCTTTTCTCGCGTTGAGAGGGAAGGGAAATAGAACCAGACTCTGACGATCGGTCCGGAACTGCTCTTGGTAGCTTCGGGTTTTGGAGCCTGTTGAGCCTCGAGAAAGCGCAGCGCTTCATCCTGGACGTATTCAAACGCCTCAAACAGATCATCTGTGGGCATTGCAGCGGCCAGCGTGGCCAGCTCGGCTTTGGACATCCAATCTGGTTGCCGCAGTGAGTAACTCAATGTGGGTGGCTGTGCTAGGTCCAGAGCATCGGATTGCACCGGTATTGATACGTTGACCTGTATTGTTTCTTCTCCCCCCGCAATCGGTAAACAGACTGCAAGGGGTAAGGTTGAAGGAATCCCAGAGGGCACTGCAGATGGATTCTCGCACCACTTGCGGAGTTTTGCAACGCATTGAGTGGTGGACACAGGTATGTCGATCTCTCCAGGAGATGGAAACATGGCTGTCAGGAGGTCAATTGTGGACAATTGAGACTCCATCAAGTCCGGTGGTAGCAGGAATAATTGTTTTTGTGCCATTTTGAGGACGTCAATCGGCGGACTGTGTGAGTAGCTCTTTGATAGGCAGCTGAAAAAGGTGCTGGCTTTTCAGTAGCCGCAATTGATTGGCTAGGTCAGCATTCTAGGATATGCATAACAGCGTAAGGTTGGACCCAAAGAGGAAAGATATCACCCCTGGGCCCTGGCGCTTATTCTTGAAAAATACACTAAACTTGAAATAGGTTGGCACGTGACTGTGTAGCGAAGAAAAATACCTTAGTGTTTGCTTAGAGTGGTTTGGATTAGATTTGGGTTGATCCACCAATACAGAAAAATGTAGATCTATGCAACATGTATCTACTTTTATTTTATAAGTATTATCATCCTTAATTTTCAACTTCTCATAATATAGGTCTTGTAATCTTATATGTGCCTTTATTTACTCTTAATATAGGTTAAAAACAAATGCTGTGATTGCAAGAATCATTCACTAGCTATGGTTTCAATCATAGCGCACATGACAAGCCTGCTGTAGCGCTTGCAAAGCATGTATGTTATATGCTAGGATATCATTGGGCCAATTGATCTAACATCTGCTTTACAGTGCAAATGGCTGACTGAATGTAACTAAAGCACAGTATTATGGCGTGCTCCTTCAAATGGTCTTCATCAGTCGGCAATTCTTACTGAAAATCAACCACAGCCTAACAACCTCGCCCATTCGGGTCTTACAATCACCAAATGAAGAATCATCTACGGCTTGTCCGGCTGTGATACACAGCTGTCTGCGCTAACTGGAGTAGAGAATTCCCTACTTTAGCCTAGGGCTACGTACAAAGCCTGCTAGTTTGCTAACTGGTGCTTCAGATCGGAATATCTGTCGCTTCCATCGTTTGTATGCTGAGCTAGGACGCATCATATCAGGGCTATTATTTGTGCAGAACTGCTTTGCTGACATAAATGATACACGTTTGTGGCGGGACAGCGGGTCGAGAATGCTTGCAGGAGCATGTCACAAGGGTCGGTCACAAGAGTCACAAGAGTCACAAGAGTGCGTAGAACCAGGGGAAAGGAAAGAGGATTTTATTTCTACAACAGATATGTCACAAACCGCTGGGCTTAACAGATATATTCCTGCTTTCTGGCTCTGCCACTAGAGCAGTCTAGATGTGTTTACATCAACTTCCGCAGCCACGCACTGTCAAGGGCAGCTATAGCAAGATTAGTTAGTAATTGGCCACAGTAGTCAGCCACATACCAGCGCTTGGATGGTCTCTTTGAGGAGCTGACATTGGCGTGGCCCTGATTGCCCCTCTTGCAGCTCTCCATGCGTGGGGCTTTGTCGCTGATTCTGCTGCCTGAATCCAACAACATAGCTGATAAATTTTAGTGATTACAAATGATATGTTACCGTTATTCCTTACTTCGTAGTGAACTGTTCATCCAGCCTTCCAGCCATGGATCCTGTCAGCGCGCTTTCAGTAGCAGCTGCTGTCGTCCAGTTTATTGAACTCGCCGGCAAACTTGTTAACACGTATTGCGAAGTCCGGTCCGCCGCCAAAGGTCAACCCTGCTGAGGTTGTAAGTCTCCTTGCCAATGCTACTGACTTAGCATCCGTCGCCTCCAGGGCTCAAGACAAGCTAAAAAGCCTGGGCTCGAGCTATCCCCGCCATGTGGAATCACTGCTCCGCCTTACGACCGAAGTTGTCAGTGTCGAGTCGAAAATCGAGTCTGCCATGGCGAAGTTGACGGTGAACCCTAGGAAGTATGAAACACACTCGAGAACTCGAGCGTTGGTAGCGATCAGGACTTTTTGGTCGGAAGCCGAGTTCAAACAGTGGAATCAGCAACTCGACAGGATTCGGGATCAGGTTATGATGAATGTTTTGATGTGTGTTTGGTAGGTGAATACGGTGTTCTCTGGTTTCTTCTCTTTTTTCCGTATCTTTTGTTTAAAGAGATTTACGCGTTTCAGGGACGAGACTAGAAAATTCGATACTCGGGCCGAACACATTCTTCAAGCTGTGGAGCGTATCGAGAAAGCGATAGATACCCGCAACAGCCTTTCAGAAGGTGAATCTTTACAGAGGAGGAGCCAATGAGTACTATATGAGGCTATCTGGGCGTCGACAGGCTTGTCCGATACTGCAACAACCGTGGATAGCATAGGACCAGCGCCAGTCCAGACTCCGATCGATGAGCAAAAGTCCTTTGAAGCAGAAATTCTCCGCAGCCTCAAATATGATGAGATCAAAAATCGCGCCAGCAGCATCAAATCAGCGTTTCCAGACACGTTCCAGTGGATATTTAAGGACAACCGGCATGGTTTTCAGAAATGGCTGATATCCCAGGATAAATCCATTTTCTGGATCACTGGAGTGCCGGCTTCCGGAAAGAGTACCTTGATGAAGTTTATCATAGAACACCCTAAGCTGAACGAGCTGCTGAAAACATGGGCGTGCGTGCCAGAACAGCTTCTACGTTGCCAAATTCTATTTCTGGAATCCCGGCTCGACAATCCAGAAATCGCGAGTCGGCCTACTCCGGTCGTTGCTGTTTCAGCTGCTCTTTCGTAGACGAGATCTCATTTCAGCTGTTGCGTCAAGGCGTCGACTTTACTTCAGTATCGCCGGGATCAGTGCACAGTCTCCAGAGCGGAGGTGGGAAGAACTCTGTGAATGTCTGGTTAGATTTGCTAGTTAGCTGTACACCGAAGGTTCGCGGATAGTACTTTTCATCGATGGACTGGACGAGTATGAGGACTTCGTTGAGGACGATCTTGAATCCATCCACACCACGGACGAGATGGTCCAGTTCTCATGGGCCTTCATGAAGGCTACGAGGTCAACCTCTGCGTATCCAGTCGACCGTTGAACTACTTCCGGGATAAATTCAAGGGTTGCCCAAGTTTGGCCATGCAGCATCTCACTCAACCCGATATCGATCACTATATCGAGGTCCGCCTTGGGAGTAGCGAGGCAATCAAGGAAATTAAGAGCCTCGAGGAGGAGGCCGTCGAGCAGCTGATATTCGACTTGAAATCAAAGGCTCAGGGTGTTTTCCTCTGGGTCATTCTTGTCGTCGACCAGCTTCTGTTAACCTGTCGAGACGAGCCACATATGAAAGCAGTGAGAAGAGTCTTCGACAGCTTGCCCGAAGACCTGGCTAAACCCTATGACGCTATACAGCAACAGACAGGCTTGGAAAGGCTAGTGGGTACGTCGAAATTGTACCAGCTGCTAATGGAATGGAAGCGATTTTCGAACCATCAGATGGAGTCTACCTTTCTCTGGCTCGCAGCCATATACGACATCAATCAGCCTCAGTATCCAACTCCAGAGAAAGAGTTACTCATGGTCAAGATAACCAAACCACTTGTCGAGGGGCATACGCGCGGCATCCTGCAGGTGCTGAGCCCCGTTTCGTATGGCAAGCCGGCCACGATCGACTTCCTCCACAAAACTGCCTATGAGTGGATTCAACAACCAGACAATTGGCGTCGCATTATAGCATGCGGTCCTCCGAATTATCGTGCTGATTTTGCTATTCCCGCAGTTCTCGTTACCCATATTAACTCCCCGGCTTGCCTTTTCCATGGTATGAACCTGAATCAGATCGTGACTCGAGCCGCGTACGTTCCAGAATACTCCAGATGCTCGCGCGCAAGCTCGTTTCCATCATTGACAAGCTCAACGAGAAACACCTGAAATTCAAAACAGGGTCCTCAACGCCAGTTCAGAATTCGACGCAGAGATCCTTAACCTGGGCCGCCGCATGGGGTTGCCATGCATATCTTCAAGGTAAATTGGACCTCTCAGGTACAATATCCCAGACAACACACGAGAAGCATCGCTTCTTCTTCCCCAGCCGAAAGGTTCGGGATGTCGATGTAAAAAGCTCACTCCTCGAGGCAGCCATCTTCGACTTCGATCAGTTTGGGACCGGGCCGCTAGACGCCTGGAGTGCAACCCAACGGCTAAAGACAATCAAAGTGCTACTTCTGCGGGGCGCACGGATTGAGAGATACATGTTAGAGAGGCTCAAAACACAGCAAACGGGTAATAGTTTATACGCTCAGCTTTTGCTGGAGATGGCTAAAGATCGTGACGTATTAGCTAACTTTGATGCTAAAGTTGAGGCGACTTATCCAGAAAGCGCGGTTTCGTGGGAAAGCGCTTGCTAGTTAGCGCGTGGTTGCTTAAGAAGCCTCAGCCCAATTACAGCAAAAGTTACCAACGGCAAACATTTATCCTCTTATAATTGGGTAGACGCTGGTGCGCCGGCCATTGCTATCCCTGGTAGCTCACCATTTTGGTCACCACCAGAGGCTGCTCGAAAGCTAAAAACATACTCTGGTCTTATTTACTCAGAATATATGAGCTTAATACAGCTCTACATCACATACAAAAACGGGCAAGGTAATGTTCAGGCTCTGGGTGAACTTGGTCACGAACGATTCAGAGATATTGGCTAGTAGCAAACTCTCCACGAACGGGCAACATCATACACAAGTTCTCGGACAGGACTTTAAGTCGGGGAGATAAGCAGCTTATTAGGTTTATCTGTCAGATTCTGCACGGAAAGGCGAGATGGATGCAAGAGACTTGGAGACGTATAGGACAAAGACAGACTAAGGGCGGACATTTATATCATATCAATAACGCACATTCAAGGTATAATAATTGTTTAAAAGGCTAATCGGCCTTTTAGGGAAGGAAAAAGAAAGAGGAGTTAGTTTCTATAAAGGATGTGGCACAATGGTTGATATCAAGACTGCAACTAACGCCACCCGCATACATTTCTATATGTTTGCGATTTATAGGACGAAAAATCTAATTCTCAAGGCAGGATACCGGACTATTTATGCACCTAGATGTATGTAGGCAGCCCATGACATAGGATCTCCCTCCAGTCCACCTGCAAATAACTCTGACCGCACACGAAGAACTGCATCCCGATAGGCCAACGCCACTGACAACTTCTTCGCACCTGCTGGCGAGTTTGTAGCAAGTGACTTGTAAAAGTATTCCGTAACTTTCACGCAGACATTATCATTAGTAGGCCACAGGGTCCCGATAACGTTAGGAAAGCCAGCAACCTGGAAAGCGCTGGCAATGTGAAGGCTCTCGTCGGCGAATCGGGTGGGTCTAACCTCTGCGGTTGAGCAAGCTGACAGGTACGCAATACAAGTTCGTCCTCCTGTCGAGATTGTACTGCATATGCTCGAAACGGTTAGTTTGTCAAGAATTACACCCGATTGGCCTTCTTTTTGCAGAAGCAGATGGCTCTGAGACGGGTCGTGTGGATCTGATAGCCCGTGACAAGCGAAATGAACAATTTCAGAGCCGCCAAGTTTCCCCAGGACATGTTCGGCCGTCGGATTCTCTAGAAGTTCAGACCGGAAGACGCCGTCACACGCATTTCGAATGGCGAACCATTCATCCCGAACTCCATCCAGCGGAGCTTCCCCCGGCGTCGTCGGCATTGTAACGACAAGGATTGAAGTTTCGTTCTCTGCATTACATCCCCATCTTTGCGATAGCCAGTGCGCGTAGGCAAGAGCCCTGATCGAAGATGTATAAGATGATATTGTTTGTTGCAGGCAGTTCTCTCTAGGATTCCCTTTGTAGCAGCCAGCCGCATGAAATGGGAACCTGGTGGCGAGCCCTGTTCCCAACCACCAAACACGTGGCACGCCTATTTGAGAGTGACTAGAACTTCCATTTACCTCCTGTAGAATGGGCTTGACGCAGGTATACCACAGCCACTCCAAGAACAGTCTATTGTTTGCAGATCTCGTTCCACTTCCCGCATCGCGACCTTGGCCGGAGGTAGCTGTTGATGCTGATGTAGAAGCTCGAATTTCCTGATCTGATGACCACTTGTCGAGGCTTCTCTTCATCTCAGGGAGTTCTATCGACCTGATGCACTCACTAGAGACAATGATTGCATCCGCCCGAACAAGGGTTGCATTGACGACGATTATTACACCGCCGGTTGCACATCTCTTGAGTTCGTCTATTGAAGGCTCCAACAGAAACGTTTCGTAGCCCTTTCTCTGACGGATCTGACAGACCACTTCCTTAAGCCTCTCTCCTGCTCCAATGCGCTGCCTCGCAAGCATCAGTCGAGTTGAAGCGTTGGAGGACTCGACCGCCGAGATTTGAAAGAGGAGCCTCTTGTACTCGCAAGCCAGATCAGGACAGTCTTGTTCGAGGGCTGCGACGCCATCTTGTTTATCAAACATGTATCGAAGAATGAGGCCACGGCCAAACTCCACCTTCTGAAGAGCTTCAGAGACGCGGTTCTCTTGCAGGTATAATGAACAGACCTCAGCAGCTAGGCCTGCAATTTGTAGTACAGCGTGCTGCTGGTCGCTCAAACTCAATGATCGGTCACACAATTCCGGGAGCATTTTAAGAGCACTGTCCCCCACCTCAATTGCTTCCGCAAAGAGACCTTCATCTTCCATAATGCCAATGGCCATTTGAGCAGCCTTCACTCGAAGGGTTGTACGAGTTGTAGTACACCGACACGCTCGTAGAAAGAACTGCAATGCCTTCTCCAAGTTTCTATGCTCGGACTCATAATAGTGAAGATTCGCTAGATTAATAGACGATACCGCCCAGTCAGGGTCGTCCGGTGGTCTTGTGTTGTTGGCTTCCGAGAAGAGCCTGTTGGCTTCCTTGAAGCTCTCTGTGTCCCGAAGAAGCTCAAATTGTCGGGTGTAAATGATGGCCAGATTGTTGGCACATGAAAGGTGAAATGGATGATTTGCAGACTTGGTCGTCAATTTCATTGCGTTCTTCCCAGCAGTCAAAGCTTCACAGAGAGTGCTCCTTTCCTCGGTTTGTTCATAAAAAAGGCGTAGACATGTGGCAAGGGAGCCCAGGTATATCGCTTTCTCGGTAGGGTTTCTCTCTTTTTCGCTAGCAGTCTTCAATCCCTTCACGGCTTCTAGAAGGTCTTTCAACTCTCCTCCTCTCTCAAACTTGTCGTTTAACGTCAACGCCAGGCTATGCAGACATTTGGTCTCTCCAAGCTCTGGGCGCCCTACTGACAACTGAACAGCCTCGTGAAGCCGATCAAGTGCGTCATCAAGATGTGCAGTGTCTCCTGTGCATAGAAATTTCCGACTGAGCATATTCCCAAGCGCACTGAGGCGCAGTGGCCGTTTCATGTCGCTCAGTGCAGTGGCAGCCAAAACCGACTCTTCATAATTGATGGCACTGTTCAAGTGCTCAGGATCCCCTGTTCGTTCAAATTTCAGCTCAAGCATCAATGCAAGGTTGTGCCGCCAGCACGTAGCATCTGGATGTTCGCTGCAGGTGGCAAGGGCCCAGCGGACTCTTTTGATTGCATAATCAAGTTGATTGGCTCCGAATACCTCTGTCGATTCCTGGGAGAGTCTGAGGAGGACACCGGCAAGGGTTGCTTCACAGGAGGCTTGATCGTTCACTTCATGTTGGCGTGCCAGTTCCACGGCGTCACAGGCAATTGAAAAAGCAGACTCTGCATGGTCAATCTCTCTAGTTTCGACGAAAAGGTCAGTCTGCAGTATTGCCAAATTTTGCAAGCTCGCTATTCGCGAAGGCACATGATTAAATGAGGTGCCTTCCTTGGCATTATGGATAGCGTTGTCAAGGTCCGATCTGTTTCCGTATGCTTTGTGTCTCTGTCTAAAGATCATAACCAATAATTCTACGCTATATCGATAAGGCTCTGAACTCCGGCGGGAAGCCTGCTTTGCCTTTTCCGCTACCTCGATCGCCTTGTTGAAAACGTTGCTCGCTGGGGCAAGTTGGGCTTGCTCGTAGAGATCCGTGGCGTATTGTAGCGCTTCTTGCAAAGTAAGAGCGCTCTTCCCCCCCGGTGGCGCTTTCTGGGCAGAATCCGACATCGTCTATCAAGGAGCTCCTGTGGTGCTATTGCCGCCCGAATTCCCGGATGGTAGTTCGGTTGTGACAATGGGACTGTTGCTTTCAGGTCCCAAGCTTGATCGCACTCTCTAACATGAAGTCAGCCTCGTCTTGTAAAGACCCCGCCTTCAGGCAGCCACTGGCTGCCCAAGGCTTTGTGATCTTCCAATCGCTGCAAGTTTGATAACATGCTCATCACGAAGCTGATGCCACGTGATGAATCGGTATCATTTGTCGTCCTTTTCACAAACGGCTCCGGCCCCTCAACACCCCACAACCATCTTCATTAACACATCATTTCTATATATGCTCCATGAATTCGAACGATTCTAACGAGCAGAGAAAGGCCTTGCTTATTGGTAGTCCCTACGGCGGCCTTCAAGGCGTTTCCAACGATGTGACTACTATGGCAACGATGCTCGAAAGCAGAGGGTTCACTATCGCCAAATGCTGCGACCATCTGGCGACGCGTGATGGCATTAGAAGCGCCTGGAATTTACTGATATGCTCACTGGATGAAAATGACACAGTCGTCATTTATTACTCAGGTCACGGAGCCCTCGTGGAAGCCCCGAAAACGACTGCCGACGAAGCAAAGTCACCACGGCCAAAATACCATCAGTTCCTGGTTCCAATGGACTATGATGAGACTACAGGCGATGATTTCCGCGGTCTGCTCGATGTCGAACTTACCGACCTTCTTCGACGAACGACCGATATAACCAGCAACGTCACAGTTATTTTCGATTGCTGCCACTCTGCAAATATCGCTCGGGATCCCGTTAGTTCCCGTACTCCACGCTACAAGTGCTTGCCACGCCAGATGTACAATGTGGCGAGTTACATTGACGGACTCAAGAGAGACGGATACTTGCGAGGTAACGTTGAGACCGAGGACAACCCACACGCTGTAAAAATATGCGCCGCTGATGTCCACTCACTGGCGTGGGAGCGTAAGGGCGCAAATGGCAAACAAATCAGTATAATGACTGAACTTCTGGTCCGCGAGATTAACGACATTCGAAATCAATACTCGTCATGGAAAACAACAATGACCAAGGTCTGCGAGGAGGTTAGAAGGGAGTTCCGTGATCAACGTCCTCAAGTATATGGCGCCCACCATCGACTGTACTTTTCCATGGAAGAACGGAGATCAACAGGGTTCCACGTCACTCTGAGAGGCGACCACACCATCCTTCACGCAGGACAAGTTGCTGGGGTGAACGTTGGCGATACTTATGTGATTTGGCCATACGGCGACGGTGATAGTGGAACGAACCTTATCGGAGACGCGCGAGTCCACAGTGTGTGTGGCTTTGAAGCTACGCTTCTAGTCAGGTGGAACTCTAGCATGCCATCAGGAGGAGCATTCGCCTATCTCCAAGCCCCAGCGCCAATTTCCAGATGGCCGATCCAATTCCCAGGAACCCTAGAAAGATTTGGAAGAACTATCGATCAGTCAGAGGTACTTCGACCTTGGCTTCAAGATGAAGAGACGGATGCATTCCTGAAGTGTGTTTATGAGGGCAACGATCTCATACTATACACCAACGAAGGCGTCCATATTGCTTCCATGGAAAGATCAAGCAATTATTTCGAAGGTTTGCTCAAGGCAGCAGAGCAGCTAGCGCGCGCACAGCACCTTCTCAATCTCGAATGCAATAATGAGGAAGAGAAACTTTCCCATGACTTCCGTGTTTCGCTGAGCCCTAGGCACAACAACAGTGCGTGCATCCGAGAGGGAGGCCAAATCTATGTTAAGATGGAAAACCACGGCGCTTATAGAATATATGTCCATGTTTTCTATATCACAGCTACTGGGCTGATTACGGAGATTGAGAAGAGATCTTTCGGGAATCGTCAGAGCGCAACACTAGGTGAAAACTGGATACGGAAATGCGGGGGTATCGAAATTATGTGGCCGCGGGGGATGCCTCGGATATCTCCTATCACGGAACACATTGCGTTTGTGATAACAGATCAAGAAGTGGATTTGAGCATTCTCGAAACGTCAGAAGCTTCTCTGCGAAACGCCAAGAAACCAGCAGAGCTTTCTCAGATTCGCTACGATGTTGTTCATGAATCCCTTATGGTTCTTCCTGCTGAACCCCTTCCGAGTGATGCAAGTGGTTAGTCACTAGGATTGCCTTTGGGAACTGGCTATATCGGTGTGCCCTTCACCTCAACTGCAGTCTGTAATATGTTTGGAGGTATATTGATTGGCCTCATCATCTAGATTAATATCTTTATCAACAAGTCTATACCGCTATCGACCTTGGGTTTAGCTGAATGGTCCGCAAAGGGCGACTGCTGCATCAGGTTCACGGTAATGGCTAAAAGGACCAGAATAAAGACAGGAGAGAACCGCTTGGATATTTAGTTCCTCCTGTTCGCTTAGTGGAACGTCAAGCTATATTAGGCATCAATCGTTCTACCAACCTTGCAATTCAGAGCAGTGTACTCAGTAGTACTGACTTCGTCAAGGGCACGGAGTGCTTTTCCCGGTTTCTACTGTCATTATTCAGTAGGCCCCGGTGATCGTCCCTTCTTAAATTAGAACAGAATTTGTCGTAGCTTCTAAGGTGGTAGGTGATTAACTCAAATTGGGCCCGGGGGACGGCCGCTACAGCAATATCTTTAAGCCCTAGATGAGGTCCGATGGGATTCTGTTGCCCAGGCATCAGCTGCTCTTTCTTATTCCGCCCTATCGATCTCGTGTCCTTAGTCCTATAATTAACATATCTAGGTCTAGTTAAGATTATTCGATAAGCTTTTCCGTTCTAAGAGGCCCTAGGACATATGCACCTAATGTGGGTTATGCATGTTCAACCCATATCCATATCAGTTGGATCAGGTCAACCCAGACCCACCCATTCTGTGGATTGGGTTATGAAACCATCCAGAATGCTGCTGCTTGCGACAGATTGTAGCATTGGCTTGTAGAATACGATTGATAACGATATCAACCCAGTAAATGATTCACTGCTATTCAACATGGATCGAAGTAAAGCTCCCATCAACTCTCCTCGACAGTATCGCGATAGAGATAGTCCACGAACTGGTCCGGGACCTGGCCACCAGCCATCTCGTTCTCCTCTGCAAAAGTCCTGATCTCGGCTTCCTCCTTGTCCGTCAATGAAATCTGCAGAGCATCCCAGTTCACCTCCAAGTACTTGACCCTTCTCGTTCCTGGAATGGCAAAAATATCGTTTCCTTGTTTCAAGAGCCAGGCCAGTGCCAGCTGAGATACGGTGCAACCCTTCTTCTCCGCCAGTGCCGCGAACTGACTGGCAACTTTGACGTTGCGCTCGCGATTCTCTTCTCGAAACTTGGGTATGGCCTTCCGTCTCTTATCCTCACTATCGCCGACTGGCTCACCCCTGCTGAAAGTGGACGTGATGACCCCGCGTCCAAGGGGACAGGAAGCCACAAGCGCCACCCCCAGTTCTCGACAGGTTGCCAAGAGGTTTGTGCCTGCTGGGCCCTCGATATCGCGTGAAAAGACGCAGTACTCGGTTTGGACGGCCACGACATTGGCAATCTTGCATGCGCGCCGGAGGGTCGCGGAAGACACAGATGACACGCCAATGTGCTTGATCTTGCCTTCTCTGTGACTGAATGAGCCTATGAGCATTCAACATTGGGATTTTGTGCCTTACGCCTGAAGTTCAACCATAGCTCTCATGGTTTCCTCGATGGGAGTCTGTGGGTTGGGACTGTGCAAATAGACTGACGGAAAAACCTGGTTAGCAATACTAGCCTCTGTCCAGTCACGGGTTTGGTGCTAACAGAGGTCAATGGAATCGACCCCCAATCTTTTGAGGCTTTCATCGCAAGCTTTCTTGCAGTATGCGGCGGAACTGTTGATCTCATGGAGTTTTCCTCACTGGACAAACCCGAACTTGGCCGCGAGAAAGATTTGGTCGCGCTTTCCGGTCCGTCGGAACCATTTTCCCAGAAGCTCCTCATTGTCGCCATAGAGACTTGGTAGGTAGAATTAATCAGCAATTGAATCATACAGATTGGTGCTGCTGGAAGACGTACTCGGATGTATCCCAAAATGTCTGTCCCTACCTGGATCGATGGGAAATATCGAGGTTCTTACCACAAGGACCGTACTGCAATCCAAGTCCTGAGCCATCAAGCGTGGCCTCGATAAGAGTGGCTTTCAGTATACGCAGGCTGAACAGCCAATCAGGGTAAAACATTGCCGAGTAAGCCTATTGCCTTGCAACCCAAACAGATTAAGAACAGAGCAAAAGATATTTCTATGTTGATCATCTGAATAATGGCCATCACTGCCAGTCTCCTATAGTATCCCGGGCACCCTTTTGGGATGGCCCGGGACACCATTATTCAGGATGTCCAATCAAGTGTAAGAACATCCGAGTGCACCAACCAGTGCTATTCTAGCGAAGCTCCACTAGTTAAACCCCCACAAGCCGGCAATTACCTTAGCGAGTGGAGGCGCTTATCTTACGCCAGCTTAGGTCCTTTTTTCCTGAAGATGAGAGCGGACACTGTGGTTTAGCAATCAAATGGATAGTTGGATGTGACTACTGGACGCATGGGCAAAAGAAGAGTCAGGACGGGCTGCCAGACATGCCGGTAAGTCTCTGTCAAAACTACGCCGGCGTGTGGCTGAGGACTGAGGACATTCTAGGATTCGCAAGGTCAAATGCGATGAAGGCTATCCGGCGTGCCGTCGGTGTCTTTCCACTGGTCGCACCTGTGATGGATATGGCATCTGGGGTGGCGGCAGCTCCAACAGACCTACGAAACCTTCTGCTGTCGCTGTGAACTCTGCGCTTGTCATCCGACCAATGTCAGATTTCCAACTGTCTGCGAGGACCAACAATGAAGAGGGCCGCTATCTTCAATGGTTCAAAGAACGGACCGGATCGAAAATGTCAGGTTCATTTTTCTCAGAATTCTGGAGCGGCTTTGTCCTACAGGCTGGTATGAGCGACCCCGCAGTGCTGCACGCCATCCTTGCCCTAAGTTCGGTCCATCGGCACGGCATCTTGAACGATGATGGTCTCGAGACAGGGGACGAGGAAAAGGTGACCCTGTCCCGCTATAGTAAGGCGATCAATTATCTACAGCCTCATTTCAAGGCAAAGGACCGGACTGCCTTTCGGATAGCTCTCATTGTCTGCATTCTGTTCATTGCGTTAGAGCTGCTTCGAGGCCGTTTCGAATCGGCACGTATCCATCTTCGACAGGGCTTAAACCTCCTCGAAGGGTCAGGTCTCTCGAAAAGAAAAGGCCACCTTCTTGTAGGGCACAAGAGTATGTCGATGACTGGATTGTGCAAGCATTATCCAGGTTTCACATCCAACTCGAGCTACTTAAGCAAGTCCACCATGGCTCTTTTTTACGGCTCCAGGTCCATTTCTTGCAATGTAAATCGCCAACATTTCCCTCTGTCAAAGAGGCGTGGTCCTGGCTTCACCACCTGATGGGAACAGTTTTCCATTTGAATGGAGAAGTGCGTGAGAAATTCTATCCAGAGGACAGCCCTCCAGCAGAGCTGCTCAAGCGCCAGCGATCCATCCATGAGAATCTTACCCAGTGGCTGAACACCTGCAATGCCACGATCCAGGCCATGAACGGCCGTATGCGCAAAGACCAAGCGCAAATCTACGGGCTGCTTCGCACATATCACATTATGATAACTATCATGGCGGCGACCTGTCTTTATCCTGGTGATGAAATGGTCTTCGACTTGCATACCGACCAATTTCTGGAAATGATTACCATGCTGGCACATCTCTGGAAATTCCTCTCAATGTATTCCGCCTTTGGCTCTCGACCGGCCCGGTTCTTCATGTCGCGGTCGATTGGAGATCTGGGCTGGATTGCTCCACTCTACTATACCACCATCAAATGTCGTGTGCACCGCATTCGACTCCATGCTATCCGACTGCTGGAGGCCAGCTTCCACAGGGAAGGGTTCTGGGATTCACAGATCTTGGCATTCGTGGCGCGAAAGGTGATGGAGATTGAGGAGGGGGACCTCTATCAGCTTCTAGATTCGGTGGATGACTTTGCGCTGCATCGCCCTCCGGGGCATGACGATATGCTGTTTCCGCCCCTGCCTGAATCTTGCAGACTATCCGATGTCGAAGTGAGTCTGTTGGGCGATCCTGTCAGTACGATTTCTATTCTTTGTAACCCGAGCGTCTATGGAACAGGCCGCAAAGTCTCTGTTGCAAGTTACGAGGTCGCATTTTGACCGACACGGTCTGTGATTGCACGTTGATTCGATATATTTCTCATATAAACTAATATCATCGATCATTGGTGGATATAGTTCTGGTGACAGGAGTCTCCCTTGAGTAGGTACGGGTCAGTCCTGTTTGTGAACCAGAAAAACCCGCATGCCTTAGTTCTTACTTGCACAGGGCGACCAATTATTACATTGATTGCTCGAATAACCTATGTTACATTGGAATCATTGTCAGTGCAAAGCGCATTCTGGTGATATCTGCGGAGACCAGAAGTACAGGCTACCGCACCCAATCCCTGCGTTAGACCTTCCCAGAAGCACTGTCTCGTCGGCTCCATGACGAGAAACTCATAGAGCGGAACGTTCCTCTCTTCCGTGGTGGGATACTGGCCTCCTCCTCCTTAGCCATCGGCGCTGGGCGCACCTGGTCGTTTCGCTTCTTATAGAGCCACCAACTGGACATGACAACCAGCGTGAGAGGCACTGTTATCGCAGCCCATAGCCGCCATACCGATGTCGATCCAGACCCGTTGTTACCGCCACCACCGTTAAAACCACCAGCACTTAGGATTGTCTGTGAAACAATATCAGCATACCAGGATTGTTCTGGAATCCGCCTTAAGTGCACTCACCGCGATGAATGTCCCTGGTAGAAAGACCATTGTCAAGGCAGCAATCGCATTCATGCTGGTACTATCCCGTTTCATACTCGCCGCCAATTGGATGTTACTCGCTGCATCCTGCTGCGTCACGAGGTTATACACCAGCGCCATCGTGCTGTCTTTGCGGTTCTTGTAGTTGAGAAACCATATCTTCTGCTTCTGCATGGACTCAATGACATATGTGATCGAGTCGGACGCGCGCTCAAACACCCGGGCCGGGCTCCCCAGGGCTTCATGCAAGCGAGCATGCGCCGTGCGGATGGCGGTTGCTGTGATGATCGCGACGTCGGCATTCCCCAGATGCGAATCCGCATTTTGAGAGATAATCTGCAGTTCCTTTGTCAGTTCTCCTAATTTGCGGCGGTCGTTGGCTTCGAGCCCGGCGAGATGGTCGTCGACTTTGTTGATCTGGGTCCACATGTATCGCCGGAATCGCTGGGCGTGATATTTCGAGGCCTCGAAGGATAATGTTGACAGGATGACGGCGAGATCGAACGGATCGTCAAGCAGGATTCTTGCCCTTTGCTCTGGCGGTGCCGTTCTGATGCTGATGTTGAAAATGTCCTGCAGGGCTTGGATACTCGAGTCTCCTTCCTTGTGGGAAATGATATAGGTCGTGAGATGCAATGCCGCGTCATAGCGCACATATACTGAGAGAGGTGCCCCTTGAAAGTGCAAGTTCCAGCGAGGGTGTTGGCAGTAGAAATCTGCGGCCGTCAGCCAGTTTCAACTTATCAAATGCAACAGTTGCAGCGGACCACAAGCTAATATGTTACTATTGCTATCGGACGTCCATCGTGTCTGCGGCGCCCAGTAGTCTGGCCTTCCAAGCAAGTTCATAATAAATGACGGATCAGCGTTCAGGTACTTGAAAAGGTCCGCCGTGTTATCTTGAGTCATGGATATCCGACTTGCAAACGAAGTATGCTTCTCTGGTATAAGAGGCACGAAGCTATCCTGACTGTCAGTGGGCGAAGGCGACAGATGTCTGGAACATACAAGGCAAGTAGTCTCGAAGGTTTCGAATGGCCGAAGGGTGCATTCGTGCGAGAAGGTTTTGGAATACTCTAACCTGCCCATCAGCTCCGTTTGGTCTGGCGGAACAGATGCTCCTACCCGAAGGAGTTGGTCCAATCCCCGAGAGTCGAGCGTATTCCATGCTTTCCACTATCAGTAATCGATCAATACCTGGACGATGATCGTTCTGACTGACATGCGGTGTCTTCATTCACATCCAGAAACATGATTTCAGTCTCGTCGGAAAAATTCCGAGGGTTTTTAAAATGCATGTCATGCTGCACCGCTGGAAAGACGTCCTGGAGGGACTGGAGGTTACCGAGAGGGTAGTTGCTGCGGTTCAAATTGAAGTTAAAGTCTAGATCCTTGGCTTCCAAATCACTTGTTTGAGCATGACGAAAGATATCCTTCATCTCAATCGAATTGCTTCGAGGAAGCACCTTTGTCTGCGAAAAGGACGCCTCTAACCGTGAGAAGTTGGCATCCTCATGGTTGGTACTTATAGGCTGGACATCACCCATTTTGCTGATATTGACCTGCAATTCTGTCTGACAGAACAAGCTTAAATCCAAGAATGTAGAGACCTCCTCGGCTAGACTCCAGACTATATCTGCAGACAGGGTGCAGAAGGCTCAACTTCTTCTCAACCAGAATGAGCCTCATCACTGGGCCAGTGCACTTGCACTCGGCAGAGATTACTCTGTCCGGCCAGTGTGACAGTCCGAAGGATGCTGGATAATACGCCACCAACGGACAGAGCGTCCTGTCTGGCCCAGCCGCTTGTCAGCTGGTCATGCCGAGACAAAAAAAATGTTGTCCTGTTCTCGGCCTTGTGAGTTCAAAGGCCTGCAGAGTGATAATCATCTTAGGAAACCATGTCTTCAGAATCCGGGGATATCGGATCGGCAAGGGTTGAAAGGCTGAATATATGGATTGACTTTAGAATGGCATGAGTGTGACCATGGTTATGAACCCGTCAGCCGCCAGGAGGCGGAGGAATTGAATGGAGATGGATATGGACACGTAGTAAGCGCTAAGCCTGGTTCAAAATTGGCCCGGTCTTGGTATTTCTTCTTATTGACCTGGTTTTTTCTTTTCTTTTTCTGATATCAGTCAGGAACTCAATATTCGTACCCTGGCTTCCACCAATCCTGGCCCCGCTGGTTTCCACGTGCTATGGCGACTGCGATTGACTATGATGCTCTCCTTGCAAGGTTCGATGACCTGGTTGCTCGAGAAATCATATATTATTCCCCGCCAACCACAATACCACTGAACGATGGGGGCTTTCCTGTGAGAAACCCCGGTATTAAATCGACATTCACTAACAATATATCAATTTCAGATCGAATTTCATATTAGTCCTTCACTCCGCACCAAGCCGGCTTATATTGGCGACAATTTCCACTCCAGTGGTAGTACATCACCCGAAGGCTTTGGACCAGGCAGTGATATTGCCAACGCAGATCCGCACCTGCTCATTGCCACTATTAACCAGACTCATCTCCTCGTAATCAACAAGTTTTCTGTTTTCCGGCCACAGTTGCTCTTGCTGACATGCGACTCCTACCGGCGGCAGCATGAACCGCTCACTGTGGAAGACTTTGCGGCGATTCACAGTGTCCTGAGCTCTTCGAAAACCCCCCATCTTGTTATATACAACTGTGGACCGATAGCTGGCGCAAGCAGGAACCATAAACATATGCAGATTTTACCGCGCCCTGCCCATCTGTTTCCTGATGACCCGAACTTTGACCCTGGGGTGATTCCATTTCAGTATGTTCTGCGATATCTTCACGATCTGGATTTCGAAAATCAGGACTGCCCCTCAAAGCTCTGTGAAGTGTACCAGGAATTATTGGCAGAGGCGAAAGAAAGGCTTGGACAGTCAGCTAGCACCAATACTGAAGGGTACTTTCCACATAACGTCGTGTTGGCCCGAGAGTGGATGATTGTCATCCCCAGGCGCAGTAACAATTTTGAGGGCATCACGGCCAATGCGGCCGGAATGATGGGCTCTGTTTGGTTGAAGAGCGAAGACGAGTTGGCTCGCTGGAAGGAGGTCGGACCGACCAAAGCTCTGGGTGGTTTGGGATGGTCGAGAGAGTTTAAGAAGGAGGCCTAGCATGCATTATAGACATTGGTGGATGCATTCGAAGCGTGATCAAACTTTTTTAAGCAATATGGCTAAAATAAATAGAGAACACTCGCCCGAACGAGACCAGGATATTATCATAATATCTTCATGGCCGCTTCAGCCAGATGTACAGCCTCCAGTTCCTGATTCTTGATGACCGAAATCAAATAGTTTGTCCCATATTCCGACACTGCACGGACAATGACATTCTCTCCATATCCACAGTCCTTCTCCGTAGGTGCTGCTTCAGTGTATTCAGCAAAGCTCTCCTTGGTGATCGCATCTTCCTTGGACAGCAACACCCAGCTGGCCTGGTCTCTTGCCTCCTGGTACGTCTGGAAGACTCCCTCGATGTCGATATCGCGCACTCTGCTGCCCTCGTCGGCGCTGTACTCGACATTAGCTTGTATCACGTAGTACAACGGCTTGGTAATGCGGCCCTCAAGGACCTCGTCGATGAGCTTTTCGTCCTTCGGAGTTGTGATGATATGAACCCGGAATTCTGTTCCATCAGGCGCAACAGCAAAAACGGCTAAGCCCGATCGTTCGGGGAGATCTCTGTTCTCAAATATCTCGGGCTTGGTCTCGTACGTGGTGAACCACTCCTTTTCGTAGCCCGCGTCAAACAGACAACGGTATGCAGCAGCTTTGGCTGCCTGGAGATTTGTGTAGGTGGCCGGGATTCGGACCTTTTCGACAACGTTGTTTGGGTTTTTCTGAAGGTGACTGGTCGTTGAAAGAATGTGGAATAGTTGTTTAGTAGTATCATTTGTGACCATCGTGGCGACAGTATCAGGGGACATGTGGTGGTGGATCAAGAATGAGTACGGCAAGTTTTCTACGTCGAATTGTTAACGAGTTCTCTCTACGTTACTATCCCAACTGCTTTTATATATCTGCGTACAACCCTCGTCATTCTTGCTTTGGTTGTTTTTAATGTTATGGGGTGATGTAGCTTGACGATGGCATGTTATGCGTGGCATGATGCTATTCCAACATAACCGGATTCTTAGGATTTTACCGGATCCTGACTTTGATCCTAAAGTGTCATCAATGATTCTTCGGCCGAATAAGTCGAGGCTCCGACCGGATGATAATTTTACTTGAAACGGTTTTCAGTAGAGGAAACGTGCCATTGATGGTCATAGTTCATTTGCCATCCTCCAACCGGACCTGAGCTACGAAAGAAGGAAACTCATCTCAGGACGTATGGTCCGGATGTCCTGCATCGCCAGTCACAACCCAAGTCCGCGTCTCGCGGATGATCCCAGTTTGACTGGATTGGCTATCCGCATCCCACGCCGGTGACGCGGACACCGTAGTCAGATTCTGCCCTGATGCCACTGGAAACAGTTCATGGCGCTCCTCCCGGCTATGATGTGTCGCAGATCGTCCGTACGACCGTGATGATTGACCCTTCCCAGTCGAATACTGGTATTCCACCCCTTGAATACGCAGACCATTGGTCTTGAGCTGATTGAGGAACGGCTTCAATTGGCCCCAGCACGCCGTGACTATACTCGCACATTGTACAACCTGCGACACAATTGTAGTAGGACAGTAGTCGTATGTTGGATCAGCGGAATGGCGAACATCGCGGGTGAACACAATCTCGATAACTGTCGCTATGATCAAGCTGCATAGCAGAGGTCAGGCATTGTCATTTCCAGAAAAGGGGCCTGATCAGCACGAACAAGATTCTTGACAGAAATATACTGGCGAACACGACCTTTTTCTTCCAAGTTGCCTGAATACCGGCAATCAAGACCAAAGCCTGGGCAATGATCAGACAATCTGTAACAATATTCGATACAGAAAGGAAGTAGTTCCAGGCGGCCTAGCATGAGTCAGCGCCGATTAGATGCGATCCTGCTATTAAGAATGCACAGGGCGGCTACCAAGTTGAAGCATTGCCCGTGCCAATAATCCCACGGACGAGGCATATGACATTGAAAGGCCGTCCCAATGACGCCAACCACTCCCACAACCGTAATAAGGCCCAGCAGGATGGCGGCGTGGAAGTGATCCTTACACACCGGGGTCAAGTTGCGGATGAATGTTGAGAGCGATAGCTTGGAGAGGCAGAGGCTTGCGACATACAGGATGTAGGCGGCATACTGGGACTGGATACGAGGGTTAACCGGACTCAATGCTGCAGATGCCCGTTAGCAACGACGTACTTTCATGACCTGGACAAAATTTTGACTCGAAATAGTCGCAAAATGATAGCCATATCCGTGGGCTACCGCGGTCGAGATGGCCGCAGATTGTGCAATGCAGAGTGCCTGCATTGAAGTTGAGTAAGATCACAATTCTCCTGGGCTTTACATTTGTAAACATACCAAAGATGCGACTATCAGATAGTCATCGCTGGTCAACTGGTGAAAGATCCAGAACTTCGTCCCCAGTCGAATAAGGACGCTCAACCCCGCAACAACAACCAGAAACCAGTTGGTGACATTGACGACAGGATCTCGGGTATCGATGTTGGCAAATCGCCCCATGTCTGCCAGTCATGCCCTGCAGGCAGTCGATAAAAGCCCGGCTACTCAATAGCGCTTGTCAATCACAATGGCATTCATGTCCGGAAAAAGTAGAGGCAACCTGACATGATAAGCGATGAAAGCAGAAACCTGCTCGACATTTAACGTCGAAATCAATGCCAATACTCAGTAGACACGCCAGCCCACTTGAGCTGATAGGAACATCCAAAGTTAGATAGATTATGACCGGGAAGGGACAGGGATCTAATCCTTCCCGTGCCATCCTCGTGTACTTTTCCAATCCGCGGCAAGTTCTGCCAATAACATGTTTCCTCCATTTCAAATCTCTGTCCTTAGGAGCTCTCCACCTGATCTCATCCAAAGTGGTTGTCTCCGACACCAGCATATATGTGATGATAACTCGCATGCGCATACTACCGCGAGCGTTGCAGGTGCTACATGTCCAGCCCTCGAGGCAAATCCCAGACACGAGCACAGCATACACGCGGAACCTCCGCCAACTACTCTGGTGGAACACGCACGGCACAGATCCTGGCTCGTGCACATGCGACCATCGGAGAAAAGTTTCTCATCCTTGTATAGATACGGAGTAAGGTTACATTGTTGGCCGAGCCCTTGTCGCGCCAAGAGACGGGGGTGGATTCCAGACGGCGAATTGACGGTGGTTTAACTGATTTCAGCAGCTGATGCCGATTGGTAAAAGGACTAGTTTCAGAGTAAATCGTCTAACAAAGTCTACTCTGTGACGGGATCAAATGTGGCTTGGCTCAGGTCGATGGGCGGGACAAGAATTCGAGACCGACAAAGCATGTCCTAAGCCTTGTGATCCTTCGAAGACTTGGTAGTCGGCCATTCCACCATGCCAATTGTGAAACCGGATATCGTCTTATGATCCTGAGTTCACGGTGGATGTCAAAGGCGACAAGTGTGAACTCCTTGATCTTATCCTGGCTGCAGCCCTGACTTGTAAGACAGGGGATGACAGGGATCGTAAATTAGAGAGGCACCATCGACATCGGCTTCAGTCGGCGTTACTTCCCACCCATAAGACAGCCTCCCTTTGCGTTCAGGACTAGACTAGAACCTGAATGGAAGGTGTTTCGACGGTGGCCAGACTGGTCTACGAAACTTGGGTTCGGTCCAGCCCACTTTTCCTTGTTCCTGGACCTTAAAATGAACCATTCCCGACGTTCATGTATTCAGTTTCTATCGCTGATCCTGCTGTTCCGTGGAATCGTAAACATGGAGTCGCACCAACTCAAGCATCGCGCTGTCTCCGCGAACGAAGAGGTCCGCAGCCATGACAGCCATGATCGCGATGTCGCCGATCTGGCGCGACTGGGAAAGAAATCAGTTCTGAAGGTAAATAAGCTGCTTCGCTTCAACTGTTCCTTAATCTGATCTCTTTTTAGCGAACATTTGGCATCCTCTCCACACTCGGGTTCAGCTGCACAATTCTTGCGACATGGGAAGGCTTGTTCAAGTATGATTCCGTACCTCTCGCCTACCTATCATTCAACTAATAAATTCTCCTCAATAGCACTTTACTCATGCCTCTACAAAAGTCAGTAACGCAAATCGGGAGAAACAAGGTTGAAACAAGGTCGAACTAACAGCATCCAGTGGAGGTCCCGGAGGAGCAGTCTACGCCTTTCTTTTCGCATGGTCAGGAACCGCATGCTGCTTTGTGGTAATATCTGAATTGGCCTCAATGTACGTGGACGTATCTTGCAACTATCTTTCCCGTTTGAAATTAAATACTAACAGTTGCAAGGGCACCAACTTCTGGAGGCCAATACCACTGGTGTGCAATGCTTGCGCCGCCGCAACACATGAAGTTCCTCAGTTACATGACTGGTAGGCGTGCAATCGAATCACCATCGTCACTACTAACCTCGTCATTATAGGATGGGTTACCGTCATTGGATGGCAGGCCGCATTTGCCTCGTGCTCGTTCCTTGCAGGAACTCAGATCCAAGGCGCCATCCGTCTCGGTCATGAGCTTTACCAGGCGCATCCATGGCATGGAACCCTTATCATGTGGGCGGCAGTCCTGTTGGCGTTGGGAATCAACTTGGCTGGAGGCAAGTTGCTCCCCCGGCTCGAGACGGTCATCCTGGTGATTCATCTGCTGGGCTTCTTTGCCATTCTCATCCCGATGACCTACATGGCCGACCACAAGGCCTCGCACGACGTATTTCTCGACTTTGTCAACAGTGGTGGATTTCCCACTCAGGGATTGTCGTGGTTTGTTGGAATGACAGGTTGCGTTTTCGCCTTTGCTGGTGGCGATGCGGCTGTGCATGTATGGACCCTCCAACTGCCTTGATAAAATCGGATCATTGACCAGAAGCAGATGGCTGAGGAGGTGCGCAATGCATCTGTGGTAATTCCAAGGGCTATTCTCCTTTCGGTTCTCATCAACGGAACGCTCGGATTTAGCATGTTGATCGCTGTACTGTTCTGCCTGGGTGATCTCGACGC